CAATTTATTTGTGTCCTTGAGTCTAAGTTGTGTCTCTTGTAAACAGCATATAGCAGAATCATGCAATTCCTATTTCAGTCTTGAGAATTTTCAACAAGGAAACAAGTTATATTTATCAAGTTTTTTTTCTGCGTATATAGAAAGGTTTATATGATTCTGTTATGTTGGTCTATTGATGTGCCACTGTTGGGTAAGCATTGGACTGTTACTGCAAGGTCTGTGGTTCAGACCCACCCTGGGTGAAAGGTAAGTCTTTCTAAGCTCCCATAAAACTGTACCGTCTCTGAAACCTTTCATAGGTTTGCTGTGAATTGGAATTGACTTGATGGCAGTCTAGTTTCCCTTCTTTCTTGTTTTGTGTCGATGGTGGTATATTACGTTGATTGGTTTTTCTAATGTCTTGAAATTAATCCCACTTGATATTTGGTATATGATTTGTTAATATGCTGTTAGATTATATTTGCTAGAATTTACTTTGAGTGGCTTGATGGCCCTGTTGGGTAAGTCAGGGACTGCTTACCTCTTAAACCCACCAGCTGCTCTGTGGAAGAAAGATGAGGCTATATGCTCACGTAAGGATTTATTATGAATTGGAATTGACTCAATGGCAGTAAGTAGGTTTTAGATTTTTTGAGTAGAATTTATTTGAGAATTTTTCTTAAGGGATATTGACATTTAGTGGTTTTTGTTTTTTCCTCCCCTCTTGTTATCAGGGTTGTATTTGAATGTCAGGGTTTTGTTTGCTTCATAAGATGAGTTAGGGAATCTGCTTTCTGTACCTTTTGGAAGAGTTTAAGCAGGATTGTGTCAGTCCTTTAACTGTTGGAAGGACTCCCAGTCAAATCATTGGGCCCAGGACTTTTTTGTTGGGAAGTTTTTCATCACTGAGGTTGTTTCCTCATGTGTATGACTCTGAGGTTTTCCATTTTCTCTTGAGTCAGCGTGAGTAGTGAGTGTGCTTGTAAGATTTTGTACATTTTATCTAAGTTATCCAGTTTGTTGCTCTACAGCTTTTAATATGTCATCCTTCTCCATTTCAGTCAGATCAGTTGTAAATGTCTGTTTTCATTTCTTATTTTGGTGGTTGCATCTTTTTTATTCTTTGTCATTTTATATAAAAGTTTGTGAATTTTATTGACCTTTGAAAAATAACTAAATTCTTGTTTTTATTTTGATTTTCTGTTTTTATTTATTTCTGCTGTGATCTTTGTTATTTCTTTTCTTTGGGGAGGTGCAGGGGTAGTTTGCTTTTCTCCCTAGTTGCTCAAGTTATAAAGATATGCTGTTAACTTGAGACTTTTCTTTTTTTCAGTTGGCATATATTGCCAAATTATATATTTATGATTGTTAAATTTTCTTGACAAATGAACCCTTTTATTACTATACAGTGCTCATCTTTATTTTAATAGATTTTTGTCTTAATTCCTCTCTTCGTGTCTAGATTGCCCCTCGATGGTACATAGAATTTTTTTTTTATCTATATGTGCTCTTTTGTAAACAGGTGTGCCTTTTGTAAATAGGTTTGTTCTTTAAAATCTCTACCTTAAAACTAATGGATTCTTTAAATTGGTTTCTTACCAATGATTTAGTTCTGTTTAACTTTTCATAGTTTAAAATTTTGTTATATTTATTAAATAGTGATATGATACTCTTCCTAGAAAAAGAGTCATTCTAGGTTTTTATGTTGCTGTAAACAATTAAGGAATTATACACTTAAACAATTAAGGATAATACACTCTGTTTTGCTACCAGGGAGACTTACGTGCTGCGAAAATTAGTAAACACTTAAAGCCAAATTCCAGCTACTCTCTGTTAGCTACAGGAATAACAGGTGATCCTTGGCTTTATGACTAGAATTTGGTAAGGTTTGCTTTCCTAAATTAGCACCTGTAAGATTTAAGTATTTTGGGCATTTTGTCCCCTTTTTTCCCTTCCAAGATGACATAATCACAGATTACTGGACTTGTTTTTATAGAATATAGTGGGATTGTTTGGTGTAAATTAATGTATGAATTGATTTCTCTCTAGCATAATCATATAATGTGTAAAGTTCTGTTTTGCAGAACAAGGAAAAGTTGGAGAAGTTGAAAAGTCAAGCAGATCAATTTTGCCAAAGACTTGGGAAATATCGCATGCCTTTTGCTTGGACTGCTATTCATTTAATGAATATTGTCAGCAGTGCTGGAAGTTTGGAAAGAGATTCCACAGAAGTAGAAGTCAGCTCTGGAGGTAGGAGTGGTTTACATAAAATAATTCCAAATGTGTAATTTTTCTCCCTGTTGAACATATAGACTTGTTTACTTTGTAGGCTTTGCAGTGAAATGATTGATGAAAATACACATAGTAAAACACGCTCCAAGTCATGAATTTTGCATATAATATTCAGTGACAATGGCTACATCCTTCACAGTGTGTCAATGTTCTCATTATTTCAATTCTAGTTGTTCCATTTCTATTAAATTAGTCTCACTGCTCCCTAACCTTCTCATCTGTGCTGTAGTCTATTTGGTTTCATAGAGATAAGTTTTAAAAAGAGCATAATGTAACCCAAGTGGCATTCTTTAATTTTTGAGTTAACCTGCTGTTTGGTTAAAAGGAAGTCCAGAGACCTTCATTTTTATTTAATATATTAATATTGGGAATATGACCCAACCAAGCGTAACTGCCATTGAGGAGCTGCTCTCTCCTAATGATCATACAGGACAGAGTAAAACTGCTATTGTGAGTTTCCGAGACTGTATCTCTTTACTGGAAATAGAAAGCAGCCCCATCTTTCTCCTGCCGCATAACCGGTTGGTGTTTTTGAACTGTTGACTTTGCAAATCACAGCCCCAACATGTAACCACTATGCCACATACTCCCCCAATTCATCTACAGATTCAACTCAATACCTGTCAAGATTTCAGCTGGTTTTGAGTGGAAATTTCAGGCCTGACCTGAAAGTTTCTATGGAAATGCAAGAGACCAAAAAAAGTCCAAACAAACTTTAAGTAGAACAAAGTTGGAGGGCTTAAACTTTCTGATTTCAGAATTTACTACAGAGTTACAAAAACGAAGGATATAATTCTGGCATAAGGAGAGACATATAGGTCAATGAAGTAGAATTGAGAGTCCAAAAATAAACATTTACATCTATGATCAATTACTTTTGGACCAGATTATTCATTGGGGGAAGTCTTTCTGTAAATGGTTCTGGGGCAAGTGAATATTTTATTCTATTATTGGCTTGTAGTTTAATGTCATTGTTCTTAAGGAATATACTATGTGTGATTTCAACCTTTTAAAAATGACTGTCTTATTTTATGATTTGTTATTTGTCCTGGAGAATGTAGTGTGTGCTTAAGATGACCATATTTTCTGCTGCCATTTACTGGAGTTTTCTGTAGATGTCTGTTAGGACAGGTCTGGTTTGTTTATGGTGTTGCTCAAGTCTTCGCTTACTTTGTTGAGCTCTCTAGTGTTTAACTGTTTTGAAATAATTCACTTATTGTGCAGAGACTCAGCTTGCAAGTTTACCTTAAAATTCTGTTTCAAACTCAAGTGCTGAGACTGCGGGAGCATTATATAGTGATTCAAATTTCCAATGTGGTACATATTTCTTAGTAAATGCTTAGTTGTAAGGTTAACTAACAGACCTACGAACAAAACCCACTGCTGTCGAGTGGGATTTGACTTACAGCAGCCCTGTGTATGATAGCGTGCAACTAATTTTTATTATTTCTGAGACTGTGAATCTTTACTGGAGTAGACAGGCTTGTCTTTTTCCTGCTGAGGAGCTGGTGGGTTTGAACCCACCAACTCTGGATAGCAGCCCACTGTGGTACTACAGCTCCTTGGTTCCTCCATAGCTGTTCTTTATGGCCCATCTTTGATCATACCTATAAATCTTTGTGTGTTATGTACTTATGTTTTATCTTAGTGTAGTTGTAAAAAGATGACCAAAAGATTGAATGTAGTGCTTTCTTACTTACTGTTCTCTAGAAAGAACATTTTTCTATTTTTATAGTAGGTGGGTTAGATATTTCCAACTTTAGTGGATTCTTTCCTGGTTTTAGAAAACTGGTTTAAGAGACATTCTAAATATAATAACAATGCATATTTTATCTTTCTTCCTTGGTAGAACGAAAAGGGTCTTGGTCAGAGAGGAGGAATTCTAGCATCGTCGGCAGGCGGTCACTTGAGAGGACAACAAGTGGAGATGATGCTTGTAACCTGACCAGCTTTCGACCTGCTACTCTCACAGTGACAAATTTTTTTAAACAGGTAGAGTCTGTCATTAGGAATTCGAGGGATATGTTATTGTACCTTTTAGTTTCACAATAGAAATTACATGAAGTTATTAATTGTGATTTTAATAATTAAAATCTAAGGAAAAAAGATTATGAATGTCTGTAAGTAAAAATAATATTTGTATTATGTCTGTTTTACTTTTATTATGTGTTTAAGTGTTGATATTGGCTAATAACACATCAAATCAGTCCTCCACATCTGTATCAAGTTATTGATAATAATACTTCAGCTCCTTTGAAACATTGACATTCTGGGAATTGTCTTAATTTGAGTGAGTGGGTACATATGTCTTTTGTTTTCCATTTTTCTTTCCTAAACCACAATACCCAGGCTCTGTGGAAAAGAGCTATTAAACAAAGTTCTTCACCAAGGATATTTTCTTATTTGCAAATCTTTGCTATTTTCCTTAATATTGAGTATACCCTTTTGTGACTGGTGGAACATATGTCACCCATCAGCCTCTTAGGTTTCTTGGGAAGGCCTTATCTTAAAACTTGTAAGACGTGCTCTCTCCTGGCAGAGAGGCCTGTGTAACTTCATGAATCTGGAGCAGTGGGTCTTCCCCTAGCATCAGAGTTTACTTAGGATTTCTGATTTCTACATAGTTATATAGAAATTAATATATCCTCAACAGCAAATAAATCCCCTTGATTCGGTATGCCTTCCATTATTAAATTCAAATCAAGATATAATTTGACAAAGAGTTAACCATTGATTTTCAAATATGTCATTATATATTATTAAAAGGTTTCTAGTGAATTCTTCCTCCAAAGTGCACATTACAATGCAGCGTGCAAAGACCTAGAATTAGAAAACCACAAGGGAAGAGCACCCTCAGCATCTCTGAAACCGAAAGACTTCAAGCATCGAATTGGAATTTTGAAGTGAAATACTGTAGGTGAAATATTGAATGATGCAGGAAGCATCAAGAGAAAATGGAAAGAATACACAGAGTCACTGTACCAGGAAGAACTGGTCAATAGAACTCAGTTCAGGAGGTCCCTTATGAGCATGAGCCAGTGGTGCTGAAGGAAGAAGTTCAAACTGCACTGAATGCGTTAGCCACAAACAAAGCTCCAGGAATTGATGGAACACCCCTCAAAATGTTTCAGAAAGCTGAGGAAGCCCTGGAAGCACTCACTCACTGATGCCAGGACATTTGGAAGACAGCTCTGACTGACCAACTGACTGGAAGAGATTCATATTTGTTCCCATTCCAAAGCAAGGTGCCCATCAGAATGCAAACTATAGAACGATATCATTGGTATCATGCACAAGTGAATTTTTGCTTAATAACATTCAACAATGGTTGCAGCAGTACATTGACAAAAGTTCAGGCCGGATTCAGAAGAGGACGCAGAATAAGGGATATCATTGCTAATATCAGATGGATCTTGGATCAAAGTAGAGAATATCAGAAAGATGTTTACTTCTGTTTCATTGATATGCAGAGGCATTTGACTGTGTGGACTGTGTGTTGAGAAGAATGGGAGATTATGCTCATGAGGAACTTGTACATGGATCAGATGCAGTTGTGTCCACAGAACACGGGAATACTGCATGTTTTAAAATCAGGAAAGGTGTGAGTCTGGTTTGCATCCACTCAGTATACTTGTTCAATCTATGTGCTGTGCAAATCATCAGAGAAGCTGGATTATATGAAAAAGAGTGTGGCATCGTGATTGTAAGAAAGCTTATTAATGACCTGTAGTATACAGATGACACCACCTTGCTTGCTGAAAGTTAGGAGTAATTGAAGCACTTGCTGATGATCAAGGATTGGTCTGGATTATAACAATGTAAGGAATACCAAAATCCTCACAAGTGAACCAAGAGGTAACATCATGATAAATGGAGAAAAGGTTGAAATTGTCAAGGATTTTATCTTACTTGGATCCACAATCAATGCGCATGGAAGTAGCAGTCAAGAAATCAAAAGAGATAAATCGTTACACAAGAACTCTAGAGTATGGCGTAGCAAGGGTGTTACTTTGAGTACTAAGGTGCACCTGACCCAAGCCATGGCATTCACTATTACATCATATGCATGTATTTGAATTGTGGTGCTGGAGGAAAATATTGATAGTACCATGGACTTCTAAAAGGATAAACTGATCTGTATTGGAAGAAGTAAGGCCAGAGTTCTCATTAGAGGCAAGGATAGCAGGACTTTGTCTTGCATACTTTGGACATAGTGTTATAAGAGGCCAGTTCTTGGAGAAGGACATCATATGTGGTAAAGTGGAGGAGCAGCAAAAAGACGAAGGCCCTTGATGAGATGGATTGACTGTGGCTGTAACAATGGACCAGGTAAAGGAACAATTGTGAGGATGGCGCAGGACTGTGTAGTCTTTTGCGCTGCTGTACATAGGGTTGCTGTGAGTTGGATCTAACTCGATGTCACCTACAACATAACATTAGTAAGGAAATCAGATTACGCTCAGATTAAGACAGGCTGTAAAGTAAATACTGTATTGCCCGTCACAATGGCAAATATTATTTAAGTGTACCTTTTTGTATTTTCACTTTAGTTGTATGTGCCCATGCTTATGTATGTTAATACTGGACTATTGTATAAAATTGATTTAATAGTACAAATCCATCAGAAAGGTATATGTCTTTGTTTTAAGTGGCCAGATGATTGGAACACTATAAAAAATAGGAATAATTTATATTACCATTAAAAAGTTACATGTTTTGGACCACATTAAGAATTAACCGAGTGCCCCCCTGCACAATGAAAAAAACCTTTGACTATAGCCCATAATCCAGGACAAAGTGTAGGTATCTGCGTTGGCATCCTCTTGGATCAGTCCCACACTCTCCAAAGGGCAGTATCGCCTATTTTGGGAAACACTGATTTAGAGTCAAGTGATTGTAAATGTCAGACATACCTGTCTTCACAGGTTTGTCTTCACAGCAGCATGTAGACTAGTGTTTGGACAATGGCACACCATAGCCTGGGAAAATGGGGAGCTAACACCAATGAGCGAAAAAAAGAAGAAAATGTTCCGAAATCGATTGTGGTGATGATTAAACTATTGAATTGTATGATTTGTGAATTAGTTGCCAATAAAACTAAAAAAAAAAAAGAAAGAAGAATTAACCCAAAGTTCATCTTCTGAGACATTCATCAGCTGTCGTTCGAAATAAAGGGAGGAATTCCTGATTTACATATATACTCACAAGTTGAGAGGGCAAGGTTTGAGTGCAATACTAATATGTACCATGAGTTGGCAGATAGCTATACACTTGAAGCTCTCTTTACTGTTATAAGTAACCTTTATATACACCTCTTCTGAGAAAATCAAATGGAAGTAAAGTAGTTGATAAGCATATGAAGTGGTAAGAATATTTTCTTATGGCCAATGGCATTAACAAAGAGTATAGATGTGACCACACTGTTACTTGGATAAGGAATGATAGGTCAAATATAGCAATGGAAATGAGAGTATTATACATAAAGTTTATTCAAGATGTAGATTAATTCTACACCCCAAATAGAGGACATCCTGTTCTAACAACTGACAGTACATTTATAATAATTATAAAGGAAAGTCTTAATGATGACATTCTAAAACCATAATCAGTAAAATTAATTGTATTTTAATGTATTACTAAATATCACTGGGGAGTTAAAAATAATTGTTCTAAAAATAATAAATTTCATAATAATACGATAAAAGAAATCAGTTTTAGTTCCGTAGAAGCATAATCGTGAACCTTTGTGATCATGACTCCAGGGGAGCTCGTAGGCCTAACTATGTTCATCAACAAGCAAGACAGACGTTTATGAACATTGGACACTTGAATGTTACAGATAAAAAAACATAAGCAAGAGAATTATGTAAGTTGAAATACTGACTCGTGAATAAAAGAATAATGACAGTAAGTTCCCAGTTAATGTAGTGGCAAGCAAAGCAGAAAATATTAACATTAAATTGAAAATCTATATTAATTAATTATAGTTAATTTTTGGCCTTTTTTTCTCATTGTTTGATATATTGTAGGTATTTCCTTTCTGGTATTAGTATCAGGATACTTATGCTTTTCTTTAATAGTGTTTTGTTGTTATACGTTTAAAATTTTTATTTAATCAAGAAGTTTGCGTTTGATGTGCTTCCCTTTGTAATTGTGAAATTACATTGAAATAACATACATGAAATCAGCTGTAAGAAGTTTATTAGGCTGTCATGTATTTTTAGATGAGCTTGCTGTCGTCATTTGTCCTTTCCGGTTGCCTTCTGCGTGGTGCTTGGCGCGGTTTGGGGTAGTCTCAAGGGCCCTACAGGCATACAAACGAGGCAGCAAGTAAATCCACTAGGGCCCTGGTGCAGCAGGGTTGAAAGCATTTGGCTTCCAACCAAAAGGTTGGTCCTTTAAACCCACCAGTCACTCCGTGGGAAAAAGACACAGAAGCCTTCTTCCCTCGACATCGACAGCCTTGGAGACCCATTGGGCCACCACAGTGTCGTCGAGTTGCTGTGAGTTGGAATCAACTCGATGGCAGTGGGTTTGGTATTGGATTTTTAAGGTCAATATATACTTTTTAAGCCAGATAATACATTGTCAATTTTGATAAAATTGGATAACGAAGTAAACTAAGATATAATTATATTAATTTAACTATTTTAAAATTCTGACCAAATTGTAGGAAGATAGGCATAATTATAAAAAGGGAATATAAATTCACTTTAAGTCTTCTGTGCTTGTTTCATTGAATACTTCTTCCTGTGCCTATGAAATCAGGAAGGAGATCGCCTGAGTGATGAAGATTTGTACAAATTCCTTGCTGATATGAGGAGGCCGTCTTCCGTCTTACGGCGACTAAGACCGATTACAGGTAATTTTACATGTTAAATAGACATGATTAAAACGGTCACCTTCGCACATACAATGTCTGTAAGTGTGTGTTCCTTTTCTTTACCTGGCTGCTATGTTCATCACCAATGTCTGTCAGTCATTTTCTTTACCTTTCTAGTATGTGGTTTAACAGTTTGGCTACCACTTTCAAGATCACTGGTAATTTGAGTACTGTATGTCAGAGAAAATAATTCCAGGGTAAAACTGTTTTTAGTTGATCATGCCTATATTTAACCTTTGAAACAATTTAACTTTTGAAATGTTGACTTATTCCAAGGCTGGATTCCTCCCTCTGTTTCTTTCATTACCTCTCCACCCTGCAGTTTATTTTTCTTCCCTCTATTTCCATTCGTTCCTTCAGTCAGTAATGTACTTATGTCTGTATCAGTCATTTTACAGATTTGAGACATGGTAAAATGAAATAATTTAGGAGTCTAAGATAAAAGTGAATTGGTTTCTTTAGTAATACTAGTAAAAATAGGATCAAATCTATTCATAAAAACTTTTAGCATGGATTTTTGTTATATTTATACTATCTTTATAATATTATGTTTTAATATGCAGCTCAGCTGAAAATAGACATTTCTCCAGCACCTGAAAATCCCCATTATTGCCTAACTCCAGAGCTGCTTCAAGTAAAGCTTTACCCTGATAGTAGAGTTAGACCTACCAGAGAAATTTTGGAATTTCCTGCTAGAGATGTCTATGTTCCAAATACTACTTATAGGTAAGATATTTTAATCTTTGAGACTTGTCAAATAAAATGATAGATATTCTAATATTATAGTAGCGCTAGAATGAAAATCTCCAAACATCTTAAGTGATTTTGTTACTGATTTAATTTATTACCATACAGTTTAATTTTATTACTAGCTGTCTTGTATTAAATATTTACTGTGTTCCTGGTGGGATATTAATATTATTCTATACATTACCTTATTTAATCCTTATAATATGACATTGGTGTTACCTACATTTTAGAGGTGCATGAATTGAGGCATAAAAAGGTTACAAATTTTGTTGCGTTTAACAAGTTGAGTGTGGTGAAGATAGTATTTCAATCCTGATCTGTTGGATTAAAACACCGGAAGCTCTAATTACTATATTACTGCAAATGTAGATTTTTGCAAAATCTAGCGTTACAGATGACTCATTTATATTCCTACATTATAATTCTAATAATATTAAATCTATTGAATATACACTACATAGAGAGTTCTAGATACAAGGCTTTTGAGTACAGCTTTTCAGGTTGAACATTATACAGTTCCAAGAGGATCATTTACATATCCTTATGAACAGTATTCCCTTGCTTTGTGAATGCTGAAAATTAAATCGAAATGTCTTTTAGATAACTGACAGGGTAGCTCAAACATGAGATTCTAAAAGAGAACTCTTGATTTTCATCCTAGACTTTCCTAAGCCAGTATATTTCATAACCATTTGCCCTGTTCCTCAGGTCAAAGTTGTAGATGTCATAATGATTTATTTCCTTATCCTTTGCATTTCCTCTGCCAACAAGTTTTGTTGGTTTTCAAATTCAATATGTACTATTTCTCTTTTTAAAAGTTTAGTGTAAGTCTCCATCATCTAGATCAGCACTGTCTTATAGAAATGTAATTAATGAGAACTATGTAAACATTGTTAGTTGTCATATTTTAAAAAGTCAGAAGAAACAATCTTCATGTTATAAGAAAGATGAACATTTATTAAGAGGAACTCCTTTTTTTAATTAAGTAATTTTATTAGGGGCTCGTACAGCTCTTATCACAATCCATACATACATCTATTGTGTGAAGCACATTTGTGCATTTGTTGCCATTATCGTTCTCAAAACATTTGCTTTCTACTTGAGCCCTTGACATCAGCTCCTCATTTTCCCCCTTCCTCCCCGCTCCCTCCTCTCTTATGAACCCTTGATAATTTATAAATTATTATTGTTTTGTCATATCTTACACTGTCAGATGTCTCCCTTCACCCACTTTTCTGTTTTCCATTCCCCAGGGAGGAGGTTATATGTAGATCCTTGTAATTGGTTCCCCCTTTCTACTCCACCTTCCCACCACCCTCCCCATATCATCACTCTCACCACTGGCCCTGAAGGGATCATCTGTCCTGGATTCCCTGTGTTTCCAGTTCCTATCTGTACCAGTGTACATCCTCTGGTTTAGCCAGATTTGTAAGGTAGATTTGGGATCATGATAGTGGGGGTGTGGGTGGAAAATTTAAGAACTAGAGGAAATTTGTGTGTTTCATCGTTGCTACCCTGCACCCTGACTGGCTCATCACTTCCCTGCGACCCTTCTGTAAGTGGGTGTCCAGTTGTCTACAGATGGGCTTTGGGTCTCCACTCTGCACTCACCCTCATTTACAATGATATGATTTTTTGTTCTTTGATGCCTGGTACCTGATCACTTCGATACCTTGTGTTCACACAGGCTGGTATGCTTCTTCCATGTGGGCTTTGTTGCTTCTGAGCTAGATGGCCACTTGTTTATCTTTAAGTCTGTATGACCCCAGATGCTACATCTTTTGATAGCCGGGCACCATCAGCTGTCTTCACCACATTTGCTTATGCACCCATTTGTATTCAGTGACCATATCGGGAAGGTGGGCACCCACTGATAGGATTTTTTGTTCTTTGATGCCGGATACCTGGTCCCTTCTACACCTCATAGTCACGCAGACTGGTTTGCTTCTTCCATGTGGACTTTGTTGCTTCTGAGCTAGATGGCTGCTTGTTTACCTTCAAGCCTTTAAGACCCCAGACGCTATATCTTTTGATAACTGGGCACCATCAGCTTTCTTCACCACATTTGCTTATGTACACATTTGTCTTAGCAATCTTCTTGGGAAGGTATGCATCATGGAATGACAATTTAATAGAACAAAGTGTTCTTGCATTGTTTAAGTACTTGAGTAGAGGTCCAATGTCTATCTGTTGCCTTAATACTAAACCTATAAATATATGCACGTAGATCTGTTTCCCCACCATCCTATATAAACATAGTATTTACATATGTGGCATGCCTGTATTTAGACCTCTATAAATACCCTTTGCCTCCTAGTTCTTTCCTCTATTTCCTTTTACTTTAACAGTAGCCCTTCTATTGAAAGACCTTAAAGTCTGGCATGTGCCTTATACTTATAGTACATCTCTGTTCAGGTTAGCCCACCTGGGTTCCTTATTTAGCCTTGTGTCTGCTTAAATATCAAATACTGGAGCGCTCTATCTCTATCACCTTAATTTAAAAGGTCTGCTGCTTCTTTCTTCCAGTTCCTTACTCTTCTTTGCATTTATTGTTCTGCTGTATATTTCATGTCATTATAAACTGATTGCCTTTTGCCTTCCTTATTAGAATATAATTAAAGAACAGTGATTTATCTTTATGATTTTATTTCTCCATTTACTTGTATCCTAGCATATAAAGACACATATTACTTATTTTAATGAGCAAAGAATGACAAAATATATCCAAAAAGATGTTGAATTATGTTTTATTGACTGAGAAGGCATTTGTGTACATCATAATACGTTATGGCTAACTGAAGAATGGGGATTTCTGAATACATAATTGTGTTCATGTGGAATCTGTATGTGGATCAAGAGACAATCATTCTAATGAAACAAAAATACTATATGGTTTTAAAAAGAAACGGTGTGTGGTAGGGTTGAGTTTTTATCTTTGATTTCATACTTATTTTTTCCCTCCAAGCCACAAAAAGTATACTTTTTGGGAAGGCAATCTAATGAAACTTAGATAAGTATATTACTGATAGAATTTTCTGCAGACAGCTAATTACAGAAACATGTTTAAATACGTTTTGTGTGAATGTATAAACTGGAACCCTAGTAGTGGTACTTTTTGGTTTACCCTCTTAAATGAATGCAGCAAAGTTGCAAATTACAAGATTAGCAAAGAAAAATTAGTTGTGTGTACATGCTAGCAATAAGCAATTTGAAAAACAAATTCAGAGAAGAATTCATTTACAAAAGCAGTCGAAAGAATGAAATTTGTAGGAATGAGCTGAATGAAGGGGATAGAGTTGTGTACTGAAAACTACGAAGAATTGCTGAAAGAATTTTTAAAATACCTAAATAAATGGAAAGATAGCCTGTATTCAAATGGTCAATATATTCAGTGCCAAAATATCGATAGACTTTTCCAGAGATGGAATAGCTCATTCACAAATTTATATGGAATTGCAAGGGGTTTCCCGAACCAGAACAATACTAAAAAGTAGCAAAGTTGCTGGAGGACTTACCGTATGTATTCGTGTATAAGCCAAGTTTTTAAAACACATTTTTAATACAGTTTTTGTGGTACAATTAGTTGCCTCGGCTGATACTCAGGTCGGCTTATACTTGAGTATATATGGTATACTTTCTGAATTTTCAAGTTACGATGAAACCACAGTAATCAGAACAGATTGGTACTGGCATAAAAAATGGAACTGTGATTTCAGAAATGAACTCATTTTTCTATAGCTGATTGATATTTGACCAGGGTATCAATATTGTTCAATGGAAAATGACCATTTTCTCAATCAACAGCACATTTTCTCAATCAATAGAAAATACAACTGTATTTTCACTTACAGAAAATGAAGTTAAATCCAGCTTGTACTGTATACAAAATTGAGCTCAAAATGGATCAATGACTTAAATATAAATGCTAAAATTATCAAATTCTTAGAAGAAAACAAAGGGATAAATCTTTGTCAAAAGCACAAATAAGAAAAATAGATAGACTGGACATCATCAAATTAAAACATTGGTGAATCAAAGGGACACTATTAAGAAAATGAAGAGACAACACAGAATTGAACATAATACTTGAATTTATGTATTTGATAGAGTTCTAGTATTAAGAATATACAAAGAACTTTAACAATAAGTAAACTCTTTCGACACCTGATATGATCTTCTACCCTCAGTTCAGTATTGATAATTTTGCTTGGTACCAATTTGAAGTTCTAAATTAATAAATATTTCTCCAAAGAAGACCTATAGATGTTTAGTAAGTGTAATGAAAAAATATACAAAGTTATTAACAATTAGATGAAAGTAGCAGTAGTATGCCACTTTACCCTCACTTAGATGACTGTTCTCAGAAACACTGCAGCATAATACTTGTTAGCATAGTTGTAGAGGAATTGGAGCCCTTGTTTATTTTGGTGGGAATGTAAAATGGTGTAGGGACTCTGGATAATGGGTTAGTAGTTCCTCATAAAGTTAAGTGGAGAATTATTGTATGACCCAGCAATTCCACTGCTAGGTACATACTGAAAGCAATTGAAAGCAGAGACTCAAATGGATAGGTATGCATCATTGTTCACTGCAGCGTTATTCACAGTAACTAAATGCTGGCAATGACCCAATGTCCATTAAGAATTAAATTGATAAAACTATATTTTCAACCCCAAAAGCCAATAAAGGCTTAATATGTGTTACAATATGATGAGACATAAAATCATTATTTTAAGTGAAATATGCCAGACACAAAAGTACAATGGTTGTATAATTCCACTGACATGAAGTCCCTTACATAGGTGAATTCACAGAGACAAAGTAGGTTTAGAGGTTATCTAGTGTCAGGCAACGCAATAAATAAGGTAAGCTTGCGCTTACTTGTGTTTACTAACTCATCTGTAGTGACAATTAATTTTACATTTTTCTACCTCATAGAAGATTTCTGCATCTAAGTATGGCTAGAATCTGTTTCT